GCTATTGCAGCAATGAAGATCAACCTTGTGTTAGAGTAGGACTGTAGAGAAAAATAATCTTCAAAAATATAACATAACAAAACAAAGCATTGATCAGGGAGTCAAGACCTGGAAAGCAAGTCTCTTTAATTCACTTCTCCAGACTGATTCTTCTGTTTAGTCAGTTCTCTAGGCATTTCACAATCAAGACTACTTAAGGCAGTCTGACAAATCATAGAAAAATTCAGTGGCATAAAATAACAATTTTCAGGTATTACAGTAACTAAATAATTTTTCTACCCCTTAAAAGTAAGTCCAGGAAAAAATAAGCAGATCTCATCCATTCACACCAACCCTTTGGATAAGTATTTAATTTCAACAACACTGATACCAAACATATGAATTTTACCTCACAGACTTGCAGTCTTCACTTTGTAACTTGTTATTACAATAATAAAAGATTTATGAACGCAAATGATGCTATTAAGAAAAAAAAATTAGCCAAAGCCTCTCTGGATTTATTCACAGGATCAGAATATTCACTTCTTATTTCAAAAAACTCTGGTTATACATGAAAATAAAACACTAAAGTGCTGGTCCAGGGCCAAGTTGCCCTAATACATAAAAGTTCAAACTACAAAGCAAGCTGCTGTTTGAAGACATTAGCATTATCCATGTATGGGATCCACATCATTGCTGTCTTGTGAAAGGCACTGAAGAACAATTATGCCCATTATTAATGGAGCTGATCAATCTCTCCTCCAAAAAAGCACACTAGTTATGCCTTTAGAACAACGTAATATCTTGATCAGCCAAAGAAGCCATTATTTGACTTTCTACTACCAACATCATGGGGAAAAAAAGCCAACCAAACAAACCAAAAAACACACAACACAAACAACCTACCATGGAAGTATTAAAGAAAATTCCAGCAACGTGGCACTGGTCAGCTGTAGAACCTTCACAGGTTCAGACAGAGCACAGACTAACGACTGCCCTGGGAAGTTCAGTTTACATACTCCATAGCCCTGGCACAAGTAATATGATCTCCATGTTGTTCTGTGAGATCTCTGCAGTGACTTTGATACAGTGAATTACAAAAAACAGTCTCCAAAGCATAGAAGTAAACAACTTGGTACATCTAATTGGTAGCCAGTAAGACCCAGTGAGGGCAGTCAGTAAGTACTCCTTCTCTCTTTCTGCATGCTCTCAGAGCTTATATTGTCCCCTCTTCCATATGTATGGAAGGCCATTAGCAAAAGTGACAGGGAGACAGCTTGTCCCTCCATTCCAACATGTGATCATGATATTAATCCCACTGTTGCTTTTTCTTTATACCCTTCAAAGAACACACACACACACACACACACACACATTATAATTACATAGTATATTAGTAGCAACACCTGCTCACGGAAGCCAAACACCTGGATGCAAGCCTCCTGCAGCCAGAAGGTTACTGCAGGGGGAACTGAGAGTAATGGACTCAGTGGGGCACACTGATAGGGACTAAAAGAGCAGGCACATCTAGTGGTGGGTCACTCTTAAATATAAGCATAAAGACTTAGAAGTTCTGAAGCACTGGAGAGCAGTAGCACCATTACATCACTTGCAGCTGTTGCTTTGTTTTTGAAGGGATGTGCTCTCAACTGCTTTATTATGTGCTGAACTCAAAGCTGCCTCTATGAGTGATGCATGCTCATGGCATTGCTACAGCATTAGCTCCTGAGTTTAAGGGCAATACAAGCCTAATTTTTGAAGCCAAAGACTGGATGTTAAAATGTTCTGCACAGTCAAAATCATGCCAGCCCAGGAAAGCAGAGCAGCAGCACTTTACGCGCCTAGCAAATTTTAGCAGGAAGAATATGAAATGTCTTAGGATTCCCAGTCACACTATAAATAAAGAAGGATTTTGTGGGGATTGCTCACCTGGACCCACAGGACTAAATTCATCTCAGGTGGCACTTTTGGCAAATAAACATTTTTATTTTTATTTTTATTTTTTTAAATTCAGCTCAATGTTTCTTCCTCCCTTGTAACAATCCTAACAAATGATCTATTTGTTTGAGACCTCCACCCTGGATTACTGTAACTCAGTATGTGGTTGAAGCTGAATGTGCAGGTAAAGTACAGGCTCCAGATGTGACTGTTCATCTTTTCCAATGCTCACATCATTATAGAATAACAGACCTGCAAGTAGTTTCTAAAACAGACCAAATAATGAACTGAGGCATTTTAGGTTGTTCATCCCCATGATTTAATAGGTACTCTGTTCCAGTGCATAGGGACTGTTAAGAACCTCAGAACTGCAAACTAGACAGCCCAAATGCTGAGAAGCTTAGGATGCAGTATGCACAGAGGCATATCTGAAAACTCTTCCAGAGTGTAACAGTCTCCTAGTGCCAAAGTTAGCAATCCTTCATGGTAGATAGGAACATAGATGTCTAGAACTCTTAAAGAACTGAGCAGAGCTACCTCTTTTACTCTATAATCTATGTTCTATGCAGGTATTTTATTTAACACAAAAGTTGTGGCAGTAGTGAAACCACTCACCTAAGAAGTTGTAGTTAGTATACTTACAAAAAAAATGGACAGTACCAGTTCAGTTCCCAACTTGGCCTATGATTGAAGCCCTCACCACTACCTTCAAGATAAAAAAAAGCCCTCATCTGTTGCAGAGACATTGTTTTGTCTTATGATGTTTCTGGTCTCAAGAATTTTGAAATCTACCCTACCCAGTGGCACAACTTCATCTAGATTTACCAGAAATTGTGTTCTTTTTAAGTTCTGTATATCGCCTGGTAGTTAGATCCATTGATTAGGTTGCAAAAAAAAAGTGCATTTAAATCTCCTCTGGCTGAATAGCAAACTAATCTCAGATCAGTTGTTTAGCCCAACATTTAGGCTAGTATTTAAAAGTTATTTTGCGTCACAACTACTTTGTTTTCAAGGGCTGACTTCACCTTCATCCTGTGAGAAACTCAGTCTCATTCATGCCCATTAAACATGCTCACAGGATCTTGGATGGAAGAACATTCATCAGGCCCTACATGAGAACTGCACCCTTGAGCTCAAGAGAACTGCATCCTTGAGCTCAAGATTAGCTACTTCTGTGTCTGCACAGAAGCAAACTAAAGAGGAAATTTCATTGTTAAACAAAGTATTACAGCATGGTTAGTCATCTTGAGGGATACATGGCACCTGAATTAGGGAGCCTTTAGGATGTCAACTCTGGCACCTTGTTTAGGCTTAACTACTAATTATTAGACTAAATACAGCCTAAGTACTGCTGCAGATTCCTCAGTTCTTCATTGGATCTAATCCATTACAGATTTTTAAATCTGTGAATCATTCAAGACCATTATTATTCAACTTTTATATATGAGCCATAGCGGCTGCTAAGTAACAAAAAGCCCCAGATGAAACACAGCACAATAAGGATGGAGCATTTTCTGTGGTGATCCAACTATCTATCCAGAACACTTTAGGCAAATCAGAGTGTTCATGTCTTTAAGAGGACCTGAAAGTCTTCTCACTAGATCCCACAAGAAGGGATTTAAGTAATATTTTGCATTGATATGCAAGATATTTCCTGCCTCACCTGAACACATTTATTTGCTTACTCTTTGACTATTACCATGAGAAGAGTGAAACAATGTAGTTTACAGTAGTTTTGACTATCATTACACCATAAACAGGATAGAAGCTTTATATAAAATTTTTACCTTTGAGCTACCTTGCATGCAAAGTTTTACTTTCTAAAGATGTGCCAATTCTAATGGTTGGACTGGGTGATCTCAGAGGTCCTATCCAACCATGATGTTTCTGTTATTTCTGTGATCTAAGAAAAGTTTACTTTGGAATTTCAAAGACAACCTGAGACTCAGCTGTAACTTGGCAGAGTCAGGCTGCAGACAAAAATGATTCTGCCTTTTCCTTCTTTAAACGTTATCTTTTATGTTCTTTTATCTTACCTTTTCCCAATCATTCATATTTTGGAGGAAAATAGAGAATATGGAAAAAGACCACAGGACAGGGTTTTGGACTTTTCATGCTAACAGGCTATTTTCCCAAGAAAAAAATTGAAGTTAAGTACACAGCAAATTACAGAGTATCCTACAAAAATAGCCAGTAGCGGTACTGATGTTTGAGACTGAAAAAATGACAATATATTCAGGGCACGTTTGAACAGTTTATAAAAAGGATAAGGTTCTTCTTTGATTCTGTCCATTATTGATCTGAAAATGACAATGCAGTTCACTGGCATCTTGCTGAACTGAGACATTGTAAAGTACAGTGGTATCAGTAGAATACAACAAAAAATTGTAAGTGGTTCCCTTCAAGTTAGCTAGTCCAGCAGAATTTTGTTATCCTCAAATATTTGTGACTTGTAAATGAGAATGTCAATTCATAGACTATGAAACAAAAAATCGTTCAATGAGACCTTGGACAAAAATGTAGCCCCTTCTACACTACTTCTACTGTGCCAATTTTAAATTGCTTCATATAATTAGGTTTTAATACAGTTGAAAATAAAAATAAATGATAATAATAAAAAAACGCAGCTACAAGGAATTTAACATATGTAACAAATAAGTAACTTTGCATTAGATTTGGGGGATCTGGCAGACTGCCATTCACCACAAAGTCTTGGAACAAGATAAAGTCATCCATATACTTAACAGATGTTAAAGAAAACAAAAATTAAAAAGTGCTATTACTAAAAAATTCTTATGGTGAATTCAGATTTGGCTCCATGTTCATAACACAACTGACTTGACAAATAAAAAGGATTCAGGTAAATAAAACACATAATAGAATGGCCACACATGGTGTGGGATCTCATAAACTACTGCAAATATTTGTACTGTTCTAAAACTAAGCTTGTTTAAAAATTAACTATGTATTCGCTGCTTCTATCCAGTTTTCCTGAAAACAACTAAAATTCAGTTTAAACCATGGTAAAATATCTTGATGTTTATACATTTTTCTCAACTGTGGAAGTACCAAGCACAGAGTTCTGTACTACAATAATTTATTTCCTACTTACAATTTAGACAATTCTTGACAAGACAGTACAGTACAATAATTCTTCTGATAATAAAAAGTTATACGGGTTCTATTTTGGTTCTTTGCTGAAATGGTTTCCTTATATTGGATTTCTTGATGTAATTTTCCTTGGTAGATGTGGAATGTAGTTCACCTGCAAAAAAACCCCCTCCATCTAATTGATAGCTCCAGTATTGAAGGAAGCTTGTGCAACCTTTGAGTTTGTTTTCTTGTTCAAAGCTGTACAGATGAAGTCTCCCGCTTCCATCACTGTATAAAGATTTACTCCCTAAAAGAGAGGTGAAAAACATTAAGAATAAATGCATATGTTGAAAATGCTTAAACTCCACCTTTTTTTGGCACCTGGGTTTAATTCTTTCAAATAAAGGTCCTGATTCGTGTCATAGGTCAGTAATAGAGATCAGTAGAGTTACACTAATGTAGACAATAGTCACAGCTTCCAGTTGTTTGGAAGGCTCTACCATTTTTAGGGTGATGTCTTATCCTAACAATAGTGGACTGAATGCTCCAGTAATATGTTTAAATCTCAAAAGGATCTGGAATAAAAAACTGTAATAACAAGTATAAGAAGTTGGAAGAATAATAGAGTGTCTACATATGTGCTCTACTTATTTATCAACCAGCACTGAGAAACTTCATGCTTATGAGTATCCTATTTGCAGCTCAGGAGAATGGAGGAAATACACTTGCATTGGTGGTTCAGTGAAAAATGGGATCCTCCATTCAGTTGAGTAAATATAATCTCCTTCTTGAAGAGTTTCCTTTCAATGCAAAATTACAATATACATTGCTAGCACAACTGAGCAAAAAACTGCAAGCTCCTCGTTTTGTTCATGTTAAAAAAAATGTTCCTTGAGCAACTGCTTTTTGAACTAGGATGAGATACATGAGATCGTTACTGCTTGATTGCTAAAATGGAATCAGATCACTGACTAAAGGGGAAAAAAAGCCTTCCTTATTAGTCTTCTGGATTACTCATGGATAGTAAGAGTTTGAGAGTTAGATCATATAAGTGATGTAAGTACTCGCTCTGAAGATTGGAATTTAGAAGCCAGTGAAGTTCCTGCAGAAGGGATGTGAAAGGGGACTTTGAACTACCAATACACTGAGCAGTAATATAAAATGGGGTGAAGTGTGTCACTCAACACTAAGCAGTACAAGATGCTTTGCACCACACTTTCACAATACCTAAGAGTTTATGCACTGAAGTTCAGACCAAGACCTGATTTAAATGCTTAATTCTTTAACTGGATCTAGTACTTATTTCCATGTCCTACAGTAAATTAGCCCTTTTCATTCTTGGAATTGGCTAAACATTATAATGAGAATAGAAATTACTCCATGGAAATGTAATCAAAAACATTTAAAATTTAAAATTAAGAAATGCTTTGAGTCAGCTTTATTATACAGCACCATCGAAAACATTGTTCAAAGACATTCTTTTATAATTTCCATTTTAATACAGTTATAACAAGGGTGATTTCGGTTAATTCTGTTTATCCTTTATTGGTAATTACTTAGGCTTAGTTTGCAGAGAGCTATTGCACATAATGAAATCTAAAAAATTCTTAGAGCATCTGTGCTTTTTTACTAGAGAAAAATGAGAAACATACTACCATCAACATAATTGGAAGTTAGATTATGGAAGATGGCAAAATAAAACCCCTAAACTACACAAAATTAACATTTTCAGCACTGTAACACTGTATAATGTGGTATGTGTTGATAAGAAGCATATGTTCATAGTTCATATTCATTACATGGAACACAAGCATCTCTGCCATTTTGTTTTCTTATGCAGCTGTCGAGAACCAAAGAGGAATACCCTGAGGGCACAACACCCAACATTGACAGGCATGACTCACAGATGGGGATGGGAAAAAGACAGTGACAGGTATTTGTAATATTGTGAGTCAAAACAATGTCTTCAGATAGACCTCAGAAATGTATTTAAGTGCACTTGCTAACCACTCTATATATCCAAAATTTTTCCTTGACACCAAGAAATGAACCATGAAGCACAAAGAGAAGTATCTGCAAACTTGGGTAAGTGCCTCAAGTCAGAAAAGCTTCTGCCAGAGGGCAAGGTCCTCTAACTCCCATTGACTTCAATTAATCAGTTCTCATTCAACATTCATGAATACCAAGTCTATTATCTCTCTGAACTTCAGTTTTGGTGTCAGTAATGCAAGGCTAACGGTACTCAGTTGCTTCTCAGAAAGGCTTATTGTTTGCCAAGCACTTTGAAGGCTTCATAAAGACAAGTACTATTACTGTAATTACATAGGAACCATGTAGAAACTGTTTTTATAGAAAGTGCATGTCCCTACAAAGTTTCATAAGCATTAATGATCTGTGGCATAATTATCCATCCATTACCATGGTACAACCAATAAATCTCTTTGTAGATGGGCTCTGCTAGAGAATTATTTCACATTTAGACAGCTAGAGATTCATTTCATGTGCCACTTCTTGGTTACATGTTCTGAAGAACAGCACAGAACAAGCATTAATTATTATTTTGATGTATCTAGTCAATCTGTACTCAATAATGTATGCTTAAATACTGTCCATGCTTTGCTTGACACTTTAAGTGACTTCAGTCAACAAAATGAAAGCTTCAGTGCATAGCTGAGAGAAACATGAGAAAGTATTCCTTGCAAATGAACAGCATCAGCAATTAAAATTTCATTTGGTGTCATTACACAGAGAGACATAGCAATAGATTTTTGCAATAATGATTTTACAGAATTGGCCATGGTTCCAAAAACAACCAACACTGCAAAGACCAAAGCTCAAATATTAAGGTAATAATGTTGAGGCTCTGTGTCTCTCATCCAGTAAACCATTCGTTTCTTAATGGGTCAGAAAAGGGTCAAGAAGCAAAGACTTGTGTTTTGCTGCTGCACAAACTAAAATTAAATAAATATTTTTTAAAAAATGAAACAAACAAACAAAAGGAGAAATAAATATTTGATGGTAAGATACTAATCTCCATGGGATTTGGTATCAATCTTGTTTTGGACACAAGTTCATTAAAAGATTAGTAAATCTTATCAAGAAACCTGGAACAAGGTATATTTCATTTCAGCAGGTTATTTTTATTTAACTGATTACTTTTGCTACGAGTCACTTAGAAAAGTCAGTGGGTATTTTGCCCAAGGAAAGACTACACTGAAAGCCTAGGTTTAAGGTGCACAGCAATGTGAAGTGCATTATTTCATAGAATCATAAAATGTTCTGGGTTGGAAGGAACATTAAAGATCATTGAGTTCCATCCCCCCTGCATGGGCACTGACACCTTCCACCAGGCCAGGTGGTTCAAAGCCCCATCCAACCTGGCCTTGAACACTTCCAGGGAGGGGGCAGCCACAACTTTCCTGGGCAACCTGTTCCAGAGTCTTACCACCCTCACAGTAAAGAATTTCTTTCTAACTGATTTATTCCTAATCTAAATCTACTGTCTTTCAGCTTAAAACCATTATGGCTCCTCCTGTTACTACAATGACCTTGTAAAAAGCCCCTCTCCAGGTTTCCTGTAGGCCCCCTTCAGTACTCTTCTTTATTACAAAGAACTGTGCTGTTTGAAAATAATAAATACCTTCTTCATAAAAAATAAAAAAAAATTTAAAAAGCGACCCCAAAGCACAAATAAACAGCACAAAACAGAGTCCACTTATATAACAGACACTTAAATTAAACCTTTTCTAAACAGGTATCTGACATCTACCCCAAACTCCCTAAGAACAATATGAAAGAGATAAACATTGAACTCAAGGTACTGAATATGCCTTAACAGCCCTCAGGGGATGTACAGTTCAGAAACAAGTTCCATGGTCTCCTTATGTCAAAGAACATTGTTGGCGTGCATGTCACACTGAACTGCAACCAACAGACAATTAATAAGTTCCCCAACAACACAGATCACTCTATATCAGACATCAGGCTTTTAAATTTCCTTCTGCAGTGGTTTAAATACAAGTCACACATGTTGCAGCTTTTGCAGCTCTTTCTATGTTCTCCTTTGAGCGTGATTCTAAAAGTCCACATCTACATTAAAGGTAAAGTCTTTGTATTGCTTGAGTTCACACAAACGCATTAAGCCCTGTTTCCATAACAATTACCAACAGGAAGACCAAAGAGCACATTCTCTGGAGAATGCAGCATTACTTGGTTCCCAGGAATACAGATTAATTAGCATGCCAACCAAGACAGTGGTACCAACTGTGTGCTCTTGAGGTGTGGATGCTCACTTGTAATATTCATTAAAGTGCATTTTTAGTGCAGATGAGCTGTTTTGCCCTCTTCTCCAAGAACAGGGCTGGAAATAAGGCTGTGAAGCCTGCTAGCCAGTAACAGATTTTGTACAACTTTGAAATACATTAAGTGGATGCCTGAGAAACAGCAATATCTCGTGCTTGGGCTCCAAACACCACCATTTTTTTCTACTTTGAAGCCAGAAAAATTGGCAAGCACTATGAACCAAATCCAAAGCTCTGTGAAAAAATCTGAGGTTTGCTCAGTCCTGTGGAGCTGAGCAGCCTTCTGGGGAAATGTCTACAGTAGGGATTTTTTGGTGGTTACTGAGGCAAAGCAATGACTGGAAGCAGCTGATACTGAGCTTCTCATAGCTCCAGGTTGGGAGAGCGGTTTATTCAAATTCCTGTCATATACGCACACCAGTTCTAACTTTAAATTGCTAATAAAGTCATGATCATTCATGTTCTTTGCAAAGCCATATTAAAGCACTGAGTTTGCAAAAACTACTATTTGCTCTGAATATCTTACTGTACAGCACAAGTAATTGTCAGGTATGTAATATACGTTTTCTAGAAAAATATTTTCCTTAAAGTCTTGATTAGAAAATAGAATATCTTACTGTATTGATCCCCAGGCCATTAAGCATGTAGATCACATCCTCTGTGGCTACATTTCCAGTAGCACCTTTTGCATAGGGACAACCACCCAGTCCTGCAACTGATGAATCCACTACAGTAACTCCCATCTGGAAGATAACAACACAGAAATGCAACATCAGCACAGAGTATTATTTGTAATTATTCATAAATAATAGGCTATAATTATTAGCTACCATGGATAAAATACACATTTCTCCACAAATGGATATGTTTCTCAGAGGAAATTCCTTAAAACAGTGTTGGTCCTGACATCTTTATAAGGTATGACTCTTCAAACACAGGATGTAGAACAGAGGTCCATTACATGGGATTTTGGCAGATAAGATGACTGCCAGTTTAGAGCCAGAATTTTTACGCCTTTTCCCTCTTGTATTCCAAGAGATTTTTGGTACATCTATCCTCTAAAATATGTTTTGTATTAATGGCTGTTCTTTTACTAAGAACTTTCCTCCTAGCATTTTCTCTTTTAATTTTCTTTTCTTTTTTCTTTATTAGAGATCCTGAAACTACCATGTAAGTATTTTTTTCTGTTCTTGTTCAAGAGGAAGACTACAAGGTCTTTTTATAATGTAACCAATAATGAAATGTTGGCAGATATGTTTAAATAAAAACTTAAAGAACTTTATTCAAGTTAGTCTGACCCATTGTTTATTGCATTCACCAGTCTAAAAGAAAACACAACCTCTTTTGGTGCTTCTTCTGTTCATGACCAGCGTCCAGCGAAGACTCCCTCTATCCATCACCATTGATCCCTAGGCCCGTGCATTCCTGACCCTACAACTCTGCCCTCAGCTCCTGTCTGCTCTGCCGCTCTCTCCAGCAGCTCCAGGACATTTGGGAACTGCTCACAGCTCAGGAGATGCCATGATAGTTGTTGGGGATGGGGGGTAGGTAAGAGGGCTTTGCACATTCCTGCACATACTTGTATATATTTGTACATATTTTCTTTTATCATTACTATTTAATTAAAGCTGCCTAGTTTAGTTTTCAATCCAGAAAGTCTCTCTCCTTATTCTCTTTCTCCTTTCGCTACCTGGGTGTGAGAGAGAGGGGATACAGAGCATTGCTGTCAATGGTTTAATGGCTGATGCTGAGTTAAACTGTGACAGCCTTACAGGTTGTTTGAAGTGCCATCATTTCTGGAAGGCAGTAACAAAGAGTAATCCCATGAAGGGTTGTCCCAGGTCCTATTCTCAGACAGATAATATCATCTTGAGCTAGGTAGCTGCTCAAAGCCTGTAATAAAGACCTCAAAGGAGCTGTGCTGCGTAATCTTGACAGGCAAGACAGTACTGTTTAATATTCCTCACACAACAAGTCTCTCTGAGAAGGGATATTGGACTTTCAAGTACTCTAATCCGTGAATTACGGAGTGAATCACCAAAGTACAAGTTTCACATTTCAGTCACTTGTCACACAACGTTGTTTGTGTAACCCATTGGTCAGAAAATGTGTTATTCAACACATCTGTGTGCAATACACTCAGGGTATGTGTTTATGATAGCTTTCAACTGGAAATTCTCTTTTTGCACTAGCTGCTAAGATTCATACATTTACTCTGGAAGTCATTGCTTCAAACTCCACAGAGGCAGCTGTTGGGCTTTTAAGTGACCTGAAGAAACATACCTAAGGCCTCTTAATGAAAAGATGCACGGCATGGTGAAGGTCTGGGGAAAAGAAAAGGCAGACTAATATGTCAAGTGCTGATATGATACAAGCCTGTGTTCCACTGCCATGCCTGCTCTTTTACAGTGATTTTAAGATTTCCGTTAAAAAATACTGTTTCAGAGATGAAACAGTAGAATGATGGAATCATAGAATGGTTTGGGTTGGAAGGGAACTTAAAGATTTTTTATTTCCAACGCCCCTGCATGGGAGGACATCTGTCCCTCATGGAGTTTCTCAGCAACTGTCAGATTATGTCATAACTGCTACAGCATTCCCCTAGATGCACTTATTTTCAGTAACTTTTACATGGGGATAAAAGCTATGGGCAAATAATGGGCTGTTAAATTCCCAAGGAAGATCAACACACTCAGAAACAGCATTAGTAGCATATAAGCTGTCACTTTCTAACTCCAGTGAATTACCTCATTAAATGCTTGTCCCTGTGCAAAAATGGGACAAATATAATCTAAATTGTATCTGGTGACAATTAAAGTGGTATCTGAAAACAGCCAGAGACTTTTGCAAGTTCAAACATGGAAGAACTTTCTCCTGTAGGATGCCAACTATATTACTACTAGTAGCCTGTTGCAACACTTCACAGGGCTCTCCCTGTGTGAAAAAGAAGCAAGGTGCTGCCAGCACTAAAAGGGTGTATCTTTTAAAGTCATTGGATATATTATTTTCTTGATGTTCTTGTATAAACACTTGTAATGCAACCATAATTCTGCATTTGCACTGCAAGTCTCATAACACTGGGGTATATATTGCTTATTATTGTTTGTTGAAAGTATTTATGTATACATGGAAGGGCATGAGATACCTCGGCAACATAAAGGTAAAGTGAAATACACATCTTGTCTAAGTACATTCTGGTTTATTCTCAGGTAGCCTCATCTGAGTTAATTCCAAAGACCTCTCTGGAAGCTGGAGTGACCTCAGTCATTTTAGTCCACCATACATGCAAAAGCATAAAAATAATGCCTTTTGCTGGATACGCAGTGAGAGCAGTAACCTCCAGATGGACAGTGATAATTGTTCTGTCTTCTAAACCATCAACTACTCCAGCTAAACAGAAAAAGGAGATGGTCTGATGACAGACATATTACATATTGGTAATAATATGTAATGTGATATGTAATGTTGCATATTGGTAACAATCCTTGTTACAGAAGCTTTCATCCTGGTACAGGACACTTAAACCATTACTTCCCAGAAACAGTGCATAAACATGTTTATGTCTCTATAACAGTACCTGCATTAAGATGGATTTGCCATTTTAACATTCAGCCAGTTGTAGACAAGGTCTTGACAAAGTGTATATAATACATCAGCTCTGACTGACCTCCAAATCTGACATGCCCTCAAATCAATGAGCAGGTGTCTCTGTCTTTAAGTCCTTTAAGGTTCTCTTCACAACACTTCTGATAAGATGTCTACTGCAAC